CCCTCTGTCACCCTTATTATTCATGATGTACCTACAAGGATTAGAGGCAAAATTAGAGGGGAGTGGGCTGGGCTTCACCCTCTTTTTAGTCAAACAAGGAAAACTTATTGACCAGGCACTACCAGCATCAATGTACACAGATGATATAGTGCTAATGGCCAACAACAAGGAAGATTTGCAGAGATTGATGGACATCTCCGGTAATGAGGGAGATAGGTTAGATTTTAGATTCAGTAAGAAAAAATCAGCAGTCATGATTTTCAATGACAACGAAGGTAGTGAGCTTAGGATACAGGACGTCACGCTAGAGATAACAGATAATTACAAATATCTGGGCGTATGGGTCAGCAATGGGACCGAGTACCTGAGGGAACACGAAATATACGTGACGACTAAAGGTAACAGGAATGTGCAGTGATGAAAAATAGGGCACTGTGGAATTACAATAGGTATGATGTTGTGGGAGGAATACGGAAAGGGGTCATGGTTCCTGGGCTGACGTTCGGCAATGCGGTCTTGTGCATGAGATTAGAAGTTCAAGCAAGATTAGAAATTAAGCAACGTGGAATAGGTAGGCTTGCTTTAGGAGCTCACGGGAATACACCAAATCAGGGAGTACAAGGTGATATGGGATGGACATCATTTGAGGGCAGGGAACCTAGCAGCAAGATAAAATTTGAGAAGCGATTGGGAGAAATGAAAGAGGAGCGTTGGGCTAGGAAGGTTTTCAGCTACTTGTACATGAAGAATGTCGATACCAAATGGAGGAAGCGAACCAGGAAGTTGACTGGTAAATACTTAGAAAACAGCAGGTGGCCAAACCAAAAAGAACTATCGGTTAAGAAGAAAGTGAAGGAAACGGAGACAAACATGTGGAAAATGGGCATGATTAAGAAGTCCGCACTAGAGATCTATCGAACTTTTAAGCAGGAAATTGCCAAGGAAAGGGTCTATGATAATACTCGGGGTAGTTCTCTACTGTTTGAGGCAAGGACGGGAGTACTGCGAACCAAGACATATCGGGCCAAATACGAAGGGGTAGACACAGTATGCATCGCGTGTGGAGAGGAAGAAGAAACTGCCGAACACTTGATAATGTTCTGTAAAGGGCTTCACCCTATATTTCAGGATGATGGCGCAGAGTTTTTCAAAGCACTGGGGTTTAGGGACCGGGAGGGCAAAATAGACTTTAAGCAAGTAGACCTAACTAGAAGGAGGTTATCTGATTGGTGGCTAAAGTCAAGGCACGAGTGAAAATTAAACTCTTCACTGCAAAGTACGAATTCTCAAACTCACTTTTTAAGGAAAATAAATATAGTTTTGAGTTCTTTGAGTATTACGGCTTGGTGGCGCTAGCCACCGCCCAATCTAAAGGGTACAGCCTTATCCATCCATTCATCCATCCATCCATCCATCTGAAGGGTACAGCCATATCCTAGGAGGATATATATAAAAAAATTGCTGGAGTGGAAGCCGCCTATACTTACCCATAGAGCACAGTGAAGCCGGCGGCGGCCATCTTGTGGTGGGCAGGAAGGCGGCCGCGTAGCATATAGTGCACTTCCGCGGCCGTTTTTTTTTTCGCAAATGATTGCTGCTAGAGAAGTAAAAACGTGCTCACATAGTCGCCGATACACTGGCAGTATTTAAAGAGACTACAGAACGGTTCGTTTTTCATGTGTTAAAATTTTATTTGTACAGCTTTCTCAGCCTTTAGCCAACATGAACGTTATGGCAAAGTTGTTTCACTGATTCCTAAAAATGACGAGTCTTGAAAGCAAAGACCTAACTTTGTCTTTCACGAGTTCCCGGCTTCGTTCCTTTGTCATGTGGTGCAGCCTGATCTTGATGTACAGCTCCAATACTTGCTTGCTCAAGTTGTAAATATGGTTGTCCAACACGTCGACGTCAAAAAGATGTTGTTCCAATTGTGAAAACCACCTCTTTTCCAGTGATTGACTCAAAATCTCCAGGACTAGTTGTTTGGTATTGGCATGTATGTTCTTAAGGCATTGAGTGGAAGCCTGCAGTCGACGCAGCCCCTTTTCCGCTGTTTCGCACAGTGACACAACATCTTCGGAAGGGTAAAAGAGTCCACCTCGATTTTTTTGTCTCACCAATAGAGATGTATCCGCTCCATGAAGAGCTTCTATGCACAACTCACAGGTGTTTGTAGTAGCGATTTTGCGAGCGACAAAGCCTGCAATGTAAGGCACGACAGAGCAAACGAATGTGGAGAGGCTCTCTGGATAGTCAATTCGGTCTGTGTAATCGTGGTCCTCTGGTTGTAGGATGGCACACCTTCGCGATGTGACCTCAGTGGTTGCACAAAATGTAGTGGCAGAGGCAGATGCACCCAGAATAGAAACAATATCTTGCGAACAGTTGCCTGAGGTGGACGATCTCACTTCTGTCTGGACCAATAGACGCTTGTAAGCTGCCATGAATTGGGCAGCTGTAGGGTTGTTGTTGAACCCCCCACGTCCTCGCACACAGCCAAAGAAAGTTTCTGCGTGATCTTGACTCATCTTGTGCGTGAGCAGATAGTTAAGTTGACCTTCATGAACGAGTTCCTTGAAGATACTTTCTGTGCTCTGTATACACACAAGAAAACCCACAAATCCTGTCCTCTTTGTTCCCTGCAAAAGTGGTCGACCGAATGGGTCTTTTAAAGCACATATGTACTCTCGAGCGTCGGCAAAAAATGGTTTCCAACAAGGCTCATTTTGCTTTCGAAGGGGGGCTTTGTATGATTTTGCAAACGCATTTCTGGAGTTTAGCAAATCGAAGAGATGATCAAATACCCTCACAAATTTTGCCGTGGCACTAGCACCTCTAAACTGTGGCAGCTTCAGCGTTTGCTCGCAAAATTCAAGAGCGTCTGCGACTGAAGCGCTGAGTGCCTGAACTGCGAGCCGTACCTTCATCTTTTGCTTCTCCCACTGCATATGCACCTTAGTTAGCTTATTGCCAAGGCGGAGCCCTTCCTCGCGCTGTAAAGCCTCCAGTGCCTTTATGTAAGCCCATTTTATGTGGTTTCCATCAACATCAGTGATGTAACACATTGTTGCCAGTGAATTTCTAATCAACTTAATCATGTGGCATGGGTCAAGCAGGATATGCACATCCCTTGACTCATCAACTGGGTTTTTAAAGGATGTGGAGAACTCGACAGGATCAGGCTTCAGTTCTGCACCAAGGCATTTTGCCATAGTGAAATTTGATGACGCACCATCAAATGTTAGACTGACAACTTGAACTTTCACAGATTCCAGTCGTTCAATGCATTGTTTTGTTAGTTCAGCCCTCTCAGAACCAGTGAGCGAGTGGATAAGAAAGTAGCCGACTGGAATTTTCAGCCTCATGTTTATGCCAACAACAATATAAACACAAACATTTGTGGCTTCAGGAAGGCTGTCATCATCAAGAGATGCTCCAAAATCAACGTAGCCAACTACCCTGTCTCCGACAAGTTCAACATGTTTCCTAATCGACATATCATCGACAATCAGAGCGCAGTAAAGAGTTTCAGAGCGACCTTGAACCAACTTCTCCAAGAAAGAAAATGCTTCACCTGTAAAGCCTGGTTGGCCATCAACAGACCTATACCATTCTCTGATTGTGCGCTGCGAAGGGAGGGCGTCATTAAACTTTGATCGCACAAATTCGTAGGCTGCTGGTGAGTAGAAATGTAAAGTTAGTGCAAACGTTCGCAGCTCTGGAGGGTATTTACCTCCACTTTCTGTCCGTGCCCGGTGAAGCAGCTGTTGTATGTCAGGAGAAAATGCTGCATCGAACATCTTGGAGCCCTCTTCTGACAAAAGCTTTTGTTCTTCGATGCCTCTAATAATTTCTTCAGCGGTGATTTTCTTTTGTGTCAGCCTTCGTTTGCTCTGCTGCAACGTTTTAATTTTTTTCTTCAAGTGCAATCTTTCGTCTTCTGTTTCCTGCAACTTCGTCTTGTACCACTGCTTTGATGGTGATACAGTGACATGATCTTCAGTATTTAAGGCCTCTTGCTGCTGAGCAGGACTGCATCCTCGAGGTTTTGGTGCTGGCCGCTTCCTTTTCACCTGAAATAAGCACATAGTGGAAATTAACTACTTTTAGAATGATATATATACTTCAATTATTGCTCATAACATGAATATATGTATTCACGAAAGCATGTTCGGGAACATTCGACAATGATCATGCGCTAATCGTGTGTTGAGCGATATTGTAAACGAGCGAACGGGACGAAAAGCTCGCGAGGAAACACGCAGCAATGCAGTCACGTCGACAAAACACGACAGAAGAGATATGTCTACGTCATTCCAACCTCCTTGATGTCAGAGCACTATATCTGCGAAGTTCCGATGCTTACCGGTGCCTGGAGGTGGGCAGGAAAAGCAGCGAACGAAGTCGGCACACTTCCCGCTTTCAACCTTGTTGTTTGTCCGGTCCGGTCAAAACACGCCGGATCAAAGTGCGCAGAGCAAAGGCGATCTTTATCTGTCGGTTTCCAGTGTTCACGACGCACAGCTCGCTCCCATAGGTTCCGTGTCTCAGCATCTTTTGGAAACCTGCCAATAATTTCCAAATATTAATTCCTTAAGCCTACCAATGAAAAAACACGAGTCAGCCGTATTAGACCGCGTAAGCACTACGTGCTTTCAGTACGCACCTGTGAAATGTGATCTTGGAAGCAGGAATCGCGCGATTTGTGCACCCATACGCTACGCAGGAATGTACCATGCTCGCTTGAATCGAGCCGCACGCATTCGAATGCACTGCAGAGACACACTTGTCAAGGAAAGACAGGCGCACGAACCGCAATCCACCGTCGCTGCAGGTGAACTGGCAGCGCTGGCCGCCACCGAGCCAGCCGAGCCGAGCTTTCTGCCCACCACAACATGGCGGCGCTGGCTTCACTTGAAGAGCGCTCCCTCCACTCCAGCAATTTTTGTATATATATCCTCCTAGGCCATATCCATCCATCCACCCATCAGAAGGAGAGGGCATATCAGAAGTTAGGGCAGCGCGTAGGTGTCCTGTGGCAGCGCGGTCGCGGCTCACGTGTGGTAGCCACACACAGGGGAATTCAAAGCTTTCTTTGTGTAAAGCTCTAGTTTATTGAAACCACACAGCTTGTGCCAAGCGGTTCGTCACACCTGCACGATGCACCAGATGGAAGTTACGATGCAGGATGGTGGGAAGAATGTCGAGGAACGTGCGGGCGCTACCGGCGTTTGTAAGCGAGATTTCTACAAGTTCGGCGAACACGTTCGGATGGAGGAAGATCAACGCATTGAATTCAAGGCACACAAGGACATCTCCATCGAAGAGCTGTCGCCAGCTTGCAAGGACCAGCACTCTCGCCAGACAATCTCAAGGTAATACAATAGTCATTTAATTTGAATGACTTGCCGACACACGTATTCTGTGAGGGCGACGCGCAACGCCGCGCTTACTAACTCGGTATCGTGACTTATTGCAGAGAATGCTCAGAGAACGAATACGTCAATTTCATGAACCACAAAAGAAACGTAAGCATTTTATTACGCAGTGTCTGTTATGCCGGCGCTGGCCGAATATTTTTTTTCATTATTCTGCCGGTGGTCGCCCCCTCATTGGCTGCTCAGTCACATGACATCGGACAGCAAAATAAGGAGTTTCCCGTTCATTTGGCGCCAAGCCCCAGTGCGTCTCGGTTCGCTGTTCTGCATTTCTGTTGCCGCGTCCAGTATTCACTATACCGATAGTTTATGCACCTTGCAAGTGTGTTGTTCAACCCGTTTAAAGATGTCAGAACCGCCACAAGGGACTTCTGACCGGCTCCAATCACAAGGGGTCAGCGACGCCGTAATCGCCGTCGGCGATCGCTTTGCCCACGGAGGAAGGAAAAAGGTAAGGAGAGGGCATGCCCACTCGGCGCAGGGCGTAAAAAATGTGGCGGATATTACGTCACGCGCGGCCATATTCAGTAGGCACAATGGCGGTGCTTTGTTTTTATTGATGTAGTGTGGTGCGGCACCGTTCAGGCTGGGTCAGGCGGTCCAGTGGCGGTGTGCGCGTTTTCATGGGCCTCGCACCTAACCGTGGCGTACTGCAGGTGTTCGACAGCATCCATTCCTTGTGCCGCATTGCTAGCTACGTGATTTTCCCCCGGTGGTGGTTGTAACCAGGTGTCTGAACTAAAAACCACGGAACGAGCGCGCGTATACGTACTCCGAATTTGCAGCGTCCGTCAAAATTATGCTGAAAAGCCATCATAGAAGATAACGACTGTGCTGAAGAATTCGTTCAATGAATGCCTTGCAGGTTAGTGAAAGTTATGCGGTGTTGCTTCTTATGACAACAAACGATGCATTTGCGGTCCACAGGCCCTTATTTAGACTGTAATCTAATCTTGCTTTTCATGTTCCTGTACAGTTACCACATGCGTCTGCGCAATAAAGTTCCTGTTCTGCTTCGCTTGAGATGATCCCTCTTCGCAATATTGTCTCGCTCTCCACAATATTGTCTGTGTTATAGCAAAACTCGTTAAAATGTCTACACTCACCTGCACAAGGTAAACAGGTGCACCTGACTAGATGCGCGTGCTTGTGCATTCAGAAGCTGACAAAGCCGTTCGGACGATGTTGACCAAGTGATTTGAAAACTCAAATATAACGAGTAAAACACATTTTAATGACACTTACTACAATAGCAAGTATGGGGTAAAATTGTGAAGTACACAAGGAGCAGTATATGAACAATTCAATGACGAAATATTTTATATAAACAGAAATATTTCACCGCAAATATTTGTGGCTACAGCAACAAAAAAAAAATCTGTCGCGTTGTTTGTGTAAAAATTAAGACAGAAAAACTTTTGTCTATGAGCATTACCAGCATGTATTTCAAGTCTTCTTTGGGGAGAGTCTAGGTGTACCATTCAAATGCAAATCAGATACTAAACAATACAGATGTAAGAAACATAGGTCAGCAAAACTTGTGCAGCCCACTCAAACTGACTTATTAAATATATTTTGCGCTTAGGGCTCACTCGGAATCACACTCGCGAAACTTTTCTTGAACCCACTTGAATTCACCTTAACAGCCTCATCTGATTTAGAGTGAGTTGTTTTGTGAGTTCGTCAGCCTAGAATGAGCTTTTTCAACCATGCTGTCGCTGCTCTTTAACATAATATCTCACATAATTGGTTCTCTTCTGGCACCTATTGATATAGTACCTTCGAATACGAGTTGTGAGTGCTCGCAAACTAGTACGGTAATTTTTCTTGAAAGCATGGCAACATAAGATATGTTTATCAAGAACTTCCCTAGAAGAATTGGAGAGGTGGTTAGGTAAAGGCATGTCCATCTGTAATTCGCGCCTCCGATCAATAAACAGTGCAATGGGGCATGAACGCCGCTGCTTTGGAATACGTTTAATAAACAGTGCAATGGGGTATGAACGACACTGCTTTGGAATACCTTTGAGAATACATGAGTTTAAACGTGAATTCAGGTGATGCTGATAGTAATGCTGAAGATTAGTTGATAGCTTGGTAAAAACAGAACTCACTTAAAAAATGTATCTTGCGCTTTTTGTACTCAATCAGACTCAGACTATTTTTTCTGAACCTACCTCACTCAGACTCACACTCAAAAAATTTTTTATATTACTCCCACCGACTTACTCAGACCATAGACGACTTACTCAGACCACCTATGGTAGTAAGTTGAATGAGTTCAAGAAAGGGGTGTGCAATATAATTACCAATACAATTGCGAGTACACGCAAGTGTTAGACTTATGTGTATGCTTAATTCTGAGAGAAGCATTGAAGGGCACATAATCATCTCAGTGTAATGAACATAAAGGGTACCAAAAACACAGTTTTCGTTCATTTCACCCATTTAGGTATGGGATAGTAGTCATTTTATCCAGTTATAAACTTATTCATTGATTTACTGAGCACTCAAATGAGAGGCAAACACAGAATGCAGCAGAACAAAGTGGGTGTGTGCAAATTCGCTTGTAAAAATCACATAGATACGTAAGACATTTCAGCCGGCACGTTGTGGACAATATCATCGAAGCAGCAGATAAATAAGAGTCAAACACAGAACATCTGAGTATACTCAGCAGCATTTACGCATTAGGGCAAAAACTTGCAACGTCACACATAAGGAACATTGATCTGGACTACAAGAGCATATAGCAAAGACATTGTGAAGATTGTTACCATGCAAAGTAAATGTTCATATGGAGTGCTATTGCCCTTTAAACTGGGTCAATTTCGTGAACATTTGGCGCACCTGACTGCTATGGAAACTTTGTGTTGTCTGCTTACCAACATGATATAGGTGCACATTAAGGTAATACTCAGCGACACTTCTTAAAAGATGGACATAGTGATTCTCCAGTGGAGAATTATCAAACATGTGTGAGTGCAGTTCTGCAAACAGTTCTTTATGCTGCAGCGATTCAAGGACTTGTAGCACAAGATCCTGCAATAGTGATTTTGATGCTAATTTATTCATGTGCACAGCCTATCGAAGAAGAGATTCTGATTTCTTGCAAATTTCAAGGACACTTTTAGATGGGTAGTGAAGCCCCCCCTTGCTTTTCCTTTGAATGAATGCAGTGTCTGCTGCTCTGGATGTGCCAAACAATGCTTCAGTACAATGGGCACACATCAACTTTGAGCCCAGTTTGTGAGCCACACAGCCAGCAATGTAGGTAACAGCACGACTACCGAAATCACTGATGTGTTCGAGTGATGCACAGTAATCATGTTCGCTGACTACATGGCTCTGCTCAATACACTCTTCAGACAAGAGCTGCCTTCTCTGAACAGTGGCATTCAGCACTTCTGTTGCTGAATGCCTCCTGGTTGAGCTACATGACAGTATAGTAATGTGGTCCAGCACTTGACAATTTCCAGAAACAGCATCAGACAGTTCATTTTGGACTATCACTTTTTTAAATGCTGCTTGAAATTGTTGGGCTGTCGGGTTGTCATTGTGCCCTCCATGTGCTCTAATTAAGCCAAAAAATAATTCCAAATGATCCTGGCTAATTTTATACCCAGGAATATATTTTAGTATCTTCTTTGTACAAATGAGAAAATCGTACATGGCTAACAGACTCTTCATGCATATTATGAAGCCCAAAAAGCCAGTTTTCCGAGCTGTTCCTATCAAATGTCTCATACTTGCAGGCTCTTTCAGGAGGGAAAGATATCGAATTGTGCTGTCAAACAATGTTTTGATATCATTTACATTCTGTTCATTGACTGGTTTCTTCCACCCTCCCTGATGCATGCTACGGGAATTGAGTATGTCGAAGAGGTTATTAATAATTAATAAAAATTCCTCAGTTGGCTCAGAATTTATAAATCCTCTCAAGCACGTCACCCTACATTCAGCGATAGCTGTTGCCACAGACAGGCTCATCACCTGCGCTGCCGGGCGAACCTTCATTGGTTGTTTTTGCCACTCAATGTGAGTCCTTCGCAACTTATTTGCCAAATGTAATCCCTCTTTATCTTGCAAGTCATGAAGTGCTTCGATGTGTGCCCATGATACAACTTTTCCCTCCTGATTGATAAAATATTTGTGGTGTGCAAAGGCATTTCTCACCAGCTTCAGCATGTGGCAGGGATCAAAAAATGCGGCTATCGGTTCGTTAGTTGCTGGGTGCTTGAAGGTTGTTTGAAGGTTCTCAATATTTGTGAAATTGCAACCTAATTCGTGAAACATTGCAATGTTAGCAGGCGCACCATCGCATGTAACTGAAACAATCATGGCCCCTGCCTCATGAGCTGTCAGCAAGCTCTGCCTAACTAAGTTCGCTCGCTGCTCACCTACTATCCCGTCAACCAGAAAGTAGCCAAGAGGAACTTTCCAATGGCCATTAATGGCTACAACCATTATCACGAAGGCGGCTTTTGCCTGTGGCAAGCAGTCACCTTCGGTTCCTGTGCCCATGTCTACATAGCCTTCAAAGTGACCACTTTGCCACTGTACCTGCTGTCTAATTGACATCTCATCAATTATGAGGCTGCACACAGCTTGATGTCCTCGATTGCACGTGTCTAAGCACTTCAACTTTAATGCAGTCACAGCCTCTTTGGAAAACCCAGCTTTTCCATCAACACTCTCGTACCATTTTCTTAATGTTCGAGGATGTGGCAGACATGTGTCAAAGACTTGCCTTACATATGATATGCTCGAGGAGAGTAAAAGTTCAAGGTAAGAGCAAAAGTCCTTAGCTCAGGTGAATACTTTTTCAGGTGTTGTCCTGTCTGTTTTGCTATCTGTTGTTTTAAAAGATGCTGATTTGCTGCACCCAGGGTGTCAAGCACTGAAACTTGCTCTCTGAGCAAAATGTTTTCCTTGGT